GTCATGTGTGCTTTGAATTAGCACATTTATTGGGAGTCTTCACTGATCACTATCCTGTAGTAGACACTGTTGAGTAAATTGATTCAGGGAACCCCCAGTATTAGAGTTGACCTTAACTCCCCCAGATTCAGCTTCAACCTTTGCAGAGCAAATTGGGACTGTTCTGTGCTTGCCTGAAGCAGACACAGTTGTGATTAAATTCAAGAAATAACTTGAGTTACTCTCGGCAGTGTTTCTCAGCCTGGGTCATGACCTCTTTGGGGCTCAAACGACTCTTTCATATGTGTCACCTAAGACCATCGGAAAACACAGATATTTGTGATTCATAACAATAGCAAAATTACAATTCTGAAGTAGCAACAAAAATAATTTTATGGTTGGGTCACCACAACATGAGAAACTGTATCAAAGAGTCACAGCATTGGGAAGGTTGAGAACTGCTGTTCTAGCTAGGGTCATGTGAACTTTTCAATTTTTTTTGTTGTAGTACAAAATGTGAGTATCCTATTTTAATTTGGCAAGTGCCATTTTTAGTTCACACATAAACGGTCTATGAATCTCATTAATCATCATAATTAATCCCATTTTCTTTGTAAATGTTACCTTAAAACAAAAGACTTAAAACCTGTTGATTATAAATTACTGCATGAAAATAATTTCCTGATATAGCAGAGATATCGGTAATATAAGAAATGATCTAGTCAAGGTGTCAAAAACTTGAGGTATGCCACTGAGAGTCATCGAACATCTTGAGTCACCCAAGAATGGGCAAGATGAACCGCAAGAGAGAGCACTATTATGCAAGGACAGGGCTGTGAATGGAAGGAGAAAAGACTGGGGTATAAGAGCTCAACAATAAAAACTTCTAGGCTGTGGTGGGTCTTCTAGTCTAGGACCTCAGGATGCTGCTCTTCTTTCCCTGAAGTGTCTCAGCCTGCTCCAGTTGCCCTTTCTGCCTGTGAACGCAGATGGTTCTAATTTTCAACACCAGAAGAGAACCTTGAACTTCATGGAGTCAGTAGGAAATAATGCAATGTCAAGGTTTCTGTCACCCAGTATCTTGAGAGATGTCAGCTGAGACGATTACTCTTTAAGTGTTTTTTTGCTAAGGGAACACTGTTGTCATAGTCTATACAATCGTTTATGGTGGTCTGTGTTCTTCCCTATGGGAGAAATGCACATTCCCACTCCATGGATGACCGCTCTGGCCTGGTGACTGGATTGCTTCAGCTGTGAAATGTCTACAGACATGATGAGGGTGGGATACAATGGTTCTAAGAGCAAGTACATGTTGGTCATGTGCTTTTCCCCAGTCTCTGTGACTATGTGCAAGAAAGATCCTCTTCACCTGGGCTCCCAAGTGACTATAGCCAGCAGAACCTTTCTTCAACTTGTGATGAGCTCAATGCATGAATAAAAAAGAAACGTAGTTTTAAGTCAGGGGTTGGCGGGGAAACTAGTGGTGTGTTACCACAGCACAAACTAGCCAAGGGAGTTGACAGAGCAGTCTGTGCTGTGTGCTAACATAAATGACAAGGTGGTCTTCCCTGTACCCATAACAGTGGAGCTGCTAATGCGAGAAACACTTGTGAAGATCAACCACACTGAGCAACCGGTCTAACATAAATATCCTGCTCTCCACACTGCCCTTGTTGAAATTCGTGGCACCGTCTTAACTTAAATGTCCACAGTAGATCTATTTCTACCTGAACATTGTGTTAGGAACTAAAATAATTCTCTTGGGCACAAGATTCTTCAGCCATTGAAACACTAATGAGTCAAGAACTTAGTACTTCCGGGTTAATTTCCAGGAAGTTTGAGACTTCGGTTTTGGGGCAAATATGAGCAAACCTCTTTGAAAGATCCAACCTTATTAATTCCATTTTATGATTCAGTTGTGCTTTTTTTCCTTTTTCATTTCCACAATTTTTGATGAATATTATTTAATTTTATTTTATTCCTTTAAGTAAAAAGTTGGAGGGAGAAGGAGGAAGGATGGGCAGGAAAAAAAGGGGAAGCGACAGAGAGGGGAGGGTGGCTAAGTAACAGGAAGCTGGAGCCGGAGTTCTGTTGATAGAAAGCTATCTAGCATGCACAAAACCCTCAGTTCAGTCCACAGTACCACATAAACTAGGCCTGGTGATTATAATCCCAAAATTCCAGAGTGTGGGCAGAAAACTCAGGAAGGTCAACTTCAAGGTCACCCTCAGTTACAGGTGAGTTCAAGGCCAACAGTCAACTTAGAAAATATAGGACCCTATCTGGGGGTGCAGGGGGGGCAACTGCCATATCACCATAATAGCTCCTAATGGATATCAATGTTTAGTTCTATTGAATTAATTACTAATTTATTCAAAATTCCCTTGAGCCCAAGAGATGAATAGTTCATGACCAATCATACAGAAAGCATTCTTGCTTGAAAACAATTCTACTAATTATATTTGTTTCAATATTTTCTTTTTGTTTCTGGAAAGCCTTTGTAGTTCAAAACACACACGCAAACTCTCTTAGTAATTAATATTTTATCTTGAGCTATGCTTCATGCTGCATAATATAAGTACTATTAAGTCGCGTGCAGAAGAATGGATGATGTATTCCTAGATTTCTGGAAGTTTCCAAAGTGTAGCTGTCCCATTCAATTTGGTCACTAAAACAGCAAACACAAACGGCGTGGAGCAGACCAGGTGTCTGTAGGCCAGCCATGTGTCAACCTAGTGGCTTAGGGAACCCAAAATAGAGTCACGGTGAGGTTGAAAATAGCGCTGACTGGAGTGTTTCGGGGAGGAGGTAACTGTGAGTCGTGCCTTTTCATCATGGTTTCTTCAAAGGTTTCCTTATCATTTTCTTCCTCCCCCTTCTCCATGGAACACCTTTTCTTCCCCCCCTCATAAATCTGGCAATTAAACTGTCGGGCCTGGGAGACTCGGCTCAGCCTCAACTCCTATCCCTAGGAGGGGCTCTCTGAAGTTGGCCCTCAGGACCCCTAAGGCTTTATTCTGGCTTAGGTACAGATCTGGCGTTTGTTAGAGGACGCTTTCCCAGCACCAAGTATGTTGGGGTCACTGGGAAAGAGGAAACTTATGAATAAATTTGAAAGGGGGTCTGAAAATTTAGATGAATGCCAAAGGAGTCCTTTTGTGACTAAAATTAAGTAGTCATCACCATCGAGGACAAATGGTTAGCAGACGCCGGCCCCCAGCAGTCTCCCAAGGTCTCCTCCAGGAGGCAGAGGCATGGATCTGTGCTAAATGGCTTAATTTTCTTAATCAACTATTTCATTGTGAGTTTTTAATTTCATTCCCATGCCGGTCTTTTTTTTTTTTTCTTTTCTCATTTTGCCATAATACAGCTCTAAGTACCGTGTCGAACGTTTGACAGTCTTCTCAGCAGGTGCTGGGCTCCACAGAGCTGGCGAACGGTCTACCTCTTATTAATTGGGCTTGGAAATGTGTTTGTGTGTGAACAGAAGCTAAGATGGGACTGTTGTACCTGTCAACATGAAACTGGGTGAAATAAAATATTTGGAACGTGTTTTAAAATAATTCATTGTGGGCTTGATCGTTAGTGAAGTAAAACGCCGAAATAGTCTTTAGTGATGAAATAAACAATCATGCAATCCAAGTAGCGGTGAAACTAAAGCAGAGGTGAGGTTTGTTCAAGGTTCTTCAGGGTTTGATAACAAGAAGGACGTTTTCTTTGTGGTCAACCGGTTAGGCATTGATGGGGAATTTCTAAAACAGTATCTGAACATGTCTAGAAAGCTGGGAGGCAGTACTTAAAACCTAACAAGTAAGGCAATCTCAGTGCCTCCAGAAGTTTACAATTTGTTTTGTCTTAATTTGAAAGATCTCTTCCCCCTTATTAAGCAAAGCCCTCAATCTGAAATTTCACATTCCAGCTTCAAGCTCTCTGCCCCGCCTTGACCCTCGGAGGAATAGATCTTTCTTTAGGAAAAGCAGAAGTGTCTGTTCCAACTTCCCTTCCGTTTTTCATGTTTCATGTGCTTAAGTTAAATGAACTTTAATGACACACATTCTAACACCCCCACATAGGGTGGAGGATCAAAGGGAGCGAGAAGAGAGCTGTCGCAGCTGAGGGAAAGCTCAGAGAAGCAGAGTCTCCTGTCACTACCGCCATCGCTGTCATCATTAACTGGCCTTGGCTGGGACTTAGGGAGCACTGTGTCCCCCTGAGGGACGGTGCCTCTGAAGAAATAGAAGATTTCCACAGTGCGTTCTGTGTGCTGCAAAGTTGTGGAAGAAGGAAAAGTAATGACAGGATTACTCCGAGATGGCTCCTGCTCAGAATGTAGTCTGTTACCTATCTGAACTGTATTTGCTTGGTTGCTTGGTTGTCTAAGCTTGTCTTGCTTCATAACCCAGGCTGGCCTCAAATTCACAATTCTTCTGACATTGTTTTTTAAGTCCTGGGGAGACAACTGTAGACTGGTAAGCCCAAAAGTTAGCTAAACTTTCTTGTTAACATTCATTTTACATACATACACCACGTGTGTGTGTGTGTGTGTGTGTGTGTGTGTGTGTGTGTGTGTGTGTATGTGTGGCACGTGTACAGGGTAACTCATCTATCCAGCCTCATATAGAGGCCAAAGGATGACACTCAGGTACCTTGAATTATTTCTCCACCTTCCTTTACCAAGTAGGATCTCTCGCTGGATCCAGAGCTTGTTCTCTGAGACTGGCTGTCCACTGAGGCCCTAGATCTGTCTCTCTCTGTCCCCTAGCAATTAAAGGTGTGCACTGTCCTTCCTTGCCTTTCACAGGGTCCTGGAGCTCCCAGATCAGGCCCTCATGTTTGTGCAGCCAGCACTATATCCGCTTAACCATATTTCCTGCACAACACATTTTACAAGCAAAAGCCACACCAGACAGCCTTGTTCAGTTTATTTGTGTACACATGTCATTGGATATGTTCAGCTGTTGCATCATTCTTAAATCTGCATGCCATTTGCCTGAATGGATGGAAAAGAATTTAAACTCAATTTCTATGAACAATTTTTATTACATATCTGACACATTAATATTTCAGTCACTGAAGATGTTTATTTCTGTAGCACATATTTCTAAAACCAGAACTGTTGGCTTAGGGGTTTCAAGGGATACTACACATTTTTAAGTCCTCATCAAAATAAAAATTGTAAAAATTTACAGTCCTAACATAACTGAGAAAGAAATAGCTCCAGATAGTTTTATACTTTGACAATTTGAAAGAAAATATAATTTCATTATTATTTAAATTCCCATCTTTAGAAAGTTGAGGTTAACTGTATGTTTACTTGAAACTTTTGCAATAGTAAGCCATCCCTCCAAGGAATACAGCACAGCTCTATATTTATGAATGCCTCCTTTATGTCTTTCAGGAAGATTATAGTACTTTCCTGACAGATGTTATACAAGTTCTGTTATTGAATTTCTAAGTATAATATGCTTTTGCTGCTGATGAATTGAAACTTTTAGCACATTTTCAAATGATTCTACTAATGTAAATGAATTCTTCTCAGGTTTCCTTTGTTGTATAGCTAGCACCTTGCCTGGATCTTGGGGGTTTTTTTGTTGTTGTTGTTGTTGCTGTTTTTATATAAAGTTTTAGTTCGTTAGCGCTGCCATCTTGCTCATAGGGAGACTATAGTAATATTGCATACCAAAAGTTTGGTCTTTTATTGTCCAATAATGCAATAACAATATTCATCATCCCCTTCTAATTTCAGACCACAGGGAGAAAGCCTTCAGCTTTGCTTTCATCAATTGCTTTGGTCTTCAACCACTTTGCGAGTCTAATTATAGACCTTCTTTTTCCTCGCTCCAAGTGTGCGGGCTACATAAGCAAGCAAATTCTTCACATGTTTTTAAGTTGATCAAACACATACAAAACCAGGACAGTTTCAACTGATAGAACCAAAACTGCCTCAACAGGACTGGCCAAAAGGAAAACTTCCAAGTGGGTGAAGGGTGTCGACTTAATGCAACAAGCATTTGTTGATCTCTCTCTCTCATTAGGGGTTCCAGTTACTCAACAGAAGGATTAGCTTTCCAGTGCAATTAAAAACAGACACTCTGCAAGGAACCGGCTTGTACACTTTCCTCAAATTACCCTCAGTCCATCCAGAAAAAGAGGCAGATAAAGTAAACACAACAACAGAAAAGTGATATTAAATGTGCGTGTGCTCCGAACAAGAGCGTACCTGGATACTGTTTCATCAACGATGGGATGTTTGGCCGAGAATGAGAGTGAAATCCTGGAGTGAGATTTTAAAGGGCGGTATTAAAAGATGGCAGGGAGGGTCATAAAGACCAACAGCAGCAGCTCTGTTTTGCCTTGTGTACTGGAAGAGTGATGGGCTGTCCCCTGTGCTAGGAACATGGAAAAACAGAAAAGATTTTCATTGCACTGTCTGAAGCGGCTTTGTTTTGCTGATAGCCTTGGCCCAAAATCATAATGTCATGAATCTTGCAAAATAGAGATTCCTCAGAAGCCTCACACAAATTGCATAACTTCAAGTATTTCGTTTCAGAGTGGAAGCCTCATGGTCTCAGCCTTGCCACCGAGCTTACCAACTTAGTCCTTTTGTTCCATCTTTGCTTATTTAAAAGATCTAGAATACTGTGAATGTGCGCTGCTGAGAGCACCGCCCCAGGGCTTTCGTTGTCTGCTATCAATCTCGCAGGCTTCTGGCTGCGTGCATAGTGGAAATTGTTAGCAGTTGCTAGAAATTTAGTGTGAAAAAGCCAGCTTTGGGGAGATTAACCAGAAATACCAATTATGTACTTTATATCCATGCAGACGTCTCTTCGGACTATTTCCTCACCTCCTGTTTATCTCAACTGACTTCCTGGAATATATCTGCCCGTGGACAGCATGGCTCTTTCCTTGTTGCTTCTACCACTTCGTTCTTTTACTTGTCTTGGAGTCCTGGGTCTCCTTGTAATTGTTTCTGTGACTCTTCTTCTCTCCACTATTTCTAAGGCATTTACAACACTAGTCATCAGACAAGTTTATGCACTGAAAAACTACTGTGTTAGGCAGGGTTTTCTAGAGGACTAGAGCCACATACATGTGCCATATGTGTGTGTGTGTGTGTGTGTGTGAGAGAGAGAGAGAGAGAGAGAGACAGAGAGAGAGAGAGAGAGAGAGAGAGAGAGAGAGAGAGAGGATTTATGACATTGCCCCATATAGCATACCCATGCTGCCTGCACACTAGAGAGGCAGAGACTCAGTAACTGCACAAGCCTCGATGCCTCGGCATTCTATATCAGTGCTGTTGGCCTACAAGGTCCCCGTAGAGCCCCCGTGTTCACAGGCTGGAAAAGATGATGTCACAGAGGAACAGCAGCACTGGGGTTACACACACTTGTTAGGAAAGGGAGAAAGCAGGCAGGCACTACTGACACTGCTTAATCTTTGACCTCTCCTCGGAAGGTATTGCATGCTCCTCAGGGTGGGTCTTCCTCACCACCCAGTCAATCCTGTTTCATTCATCCTCACAGGAACACTCATTACTGAGTCTCTTGGCTTAATCAAAACTAACCATTACTTCTGCCATCACACACACATGCTACATATACCTATATATATATACTACATATATAGCATATTTGACATACACATATACATTTATGTGTGATAAGTATCAAAATGCTATATATGACCTTCTTATCTACCAGGTTCACTCTTGAGAACTGTGCAATTTAGTTGCAAAAAAAAATAAAATTCACAAGCAAACCTCAAATTTTAGGTAAGTTTACAATGTTGTAATGGATTGCATTCATACTGGGGCACGCGGGGTCCTTGTGCAGCATGTTAGATAAACACTACCCTGGTTCTTTAAAAAATGCTTACATATAAACACTGCCCAACTAACTATACTTGTTTGGGTCTCCTTCTTCTTCTTAGATTTAGCTATAGCCTTAAATTGGTGTTGTTTTAATAAGCTTTTTGTAAATAGCTTTCAAATTACTCCTAGATGCAACTACTTTCAGTTTTATTATTGTAGTAATATACTCAAAGTGTATTTGTATCACTTTATTTACAGATGATCCTAAGACAAGCTGTTATTAATCACATAATTACAGTGTAGACAATAGAAATTTCATTCTCAGAACATTCTAAGTAGTGTAAGGCCTCTGGAGAATTCTTATGTATGTACACACACTTGGGTGCACATACGTGGAGAGGCCAAAAGTCGACATTACGTTTCTTTCTCAATTGCCCTTTAAGTTAGTTTTTGAAATAGCGTCTCTCACTCACCTGGGGATCACTAAATACAGAGGAGGCCAGACGGATGGCCAGGGATCCATTTGTCTCTACCTCCTCAGCATTGGGATGAGAGCCATGTGCCGGTATGCCCAACTTCTTATGTAGGTATCGGTGATCAGGTCCTCACCTTTACAACAGCAAGCACTTTGCCAAAGGAACCCTCGCCCCAGTTCCCCTCTGTAGAACTCAGAGAGACATAATGCAGAAGCCATCATGAAATTGTGCCTCTTTCAAGACCTTGCTCATCTTGGTCCAACTGCTTGGCGACTCCCAGTTTACTAAATATGAGCTTGTAAGTGGCAGCCAGACTCCTGGACACAGAATAGTGGGGTCCTCTTTGTAGGTGTGTTGATTTCGTCACACTCCTTCTCTGTGCTTCAGAGTATTCGGGATTGCACAGATGACTTCCAACTCCGTGGCATTGCTTTAAAGACAATGTGTTTCCCTAAGCCAAAATGCCATGCCTATGCTTTAAAACAATTGAAATAATTCAAATTAGTAGTAGGTCAGAAGCAATTTTCCAAATCACAGTTGATATTATGACCACAAATAGCACAAATTTACTTCACCGTGAAAGCTCTTCAATCTTGTGCTAAAAAAGAAAAGCCTTGAACGCTATTTTTGGCTCAGCGCTGACTTCCTGCTCCTAGAAGCTTTCACATTTGTGAATCCCGCAAGCAAGGGGAAAATAAAACTGTTGTATCATTGGGAGCAAATACCTCAGGAATTAATGAATTAATAATTTATCCACAGCATGTTCCTTGTGAGAAAAATCGCCTCCAAAACACACCGCAAGGATCTAAAAGGACTTATGATGCCAGAAGCAGCAGCCCTATTTACTCCGGGAGCTACATGGCATTTTGATCCTATAACTTCTGCCCTAACATGTGGTAGCGTTTAACTAATATTCCCAATAATATTTATAAGTGGATAGAGGATTAGTTTATTTATATAATCCTAGACGTGTATTTTGATGATCTCTTTCTTTTTCATGTTCTGTGAAATGAACTGCATTAGAAGGCTGAGAAAATGCCATGAGGGGGCAGGCATTTCTTTAACATTGAAAGTGGAGTTGATCTAGTTGAACTGATGATGAGAGGCACACCACTGGCATCTGCCTGGGGAGCGCGACTCTGGTTTTCTGACTGGCTAGCCAAATTGTTGTGTAATCCACAGAAAGTTGCCAAAGGGCAGAGAGGAAGCCTGTCCTGCATTTGCCGTTTCTCTTGTTTGTAGCCATTGAAAGGAGGTGACTGCATGGGAAGACAAAGCAGGAACAGGGGCCTAGCTCCCTAGCTAGCCAAGCCCACTGTGCTCAGAGCGTGTGGAAGATGCCAGCATGATTCCCACCAAGCACGCTATACTGATCCTGTGAGACTTTCACCTTATTAGTGATTTAAATGGGTGGTTATAAGGAAGAAAACTGACAGCTGTCTGCTTTCAGGGCTTGCATCGTCTCCTCTAACATATCCCTGAATATGCATTTCCCAACCCCCATGTCCTCTTCCACAATGTACCCTCAACATCCAAGGACTCCCACCCACCAGCTGGCAAGGCACAGAGCCACACAACTGCTCAATGGTATTGATACAACAATCTAAAGAGACAAAAATACTAGGAAGATTGAAGAGGGATCACTTACAATGTAGCATGAGAGGGCCGGCTTGTTGGGGTATCTGTCCCGCCCAGTACCCCACAGCGGGCAAGCCCAAAGAAAATCAATCACACAGAGATCTCTGTAAGTTATAAAGCTGATTGACCCTTCGCTCAGGCTTCTTGTTAACTCTTATAGCTTATAGTAACCCATTATTCTTATCTATGTTAGTCACACAGCTCAGTACCTTTCTCAGTCTGACAGCTTACATGTTGTCTCTTCGGTGGTCTGGGCAGAAGTGGTGGAGGGATCTTCTGCTTCCAGAATACTACCAGTCTCTTTGCTCCACCCCTACTTCCTGTCTGGCTTTCCTGCCTATACTGCCTGCCTGGCCAATCAGCGTTTTATTAAAATATGATTGACAGAATATAGACAATTCTCCCACACCACTTACAATACTTCTAAAAGAAATATAAAATCACATATATTTACTTCCCTTGGGCATCTTTTCAAGGAAATGAACGACATCTATTTGAAAGAACAAACAAAATCCTTCGAACAACATGTTCATTCGAACAACATTGGACACGGGCTTAACTTTAAAGAGCATCCAAACCTTATTGCCAACTTAATGAATGCGCTTACTGCATGGGGATATTTGTTAAGAAGACAATAACGCACCTTACATATCAGGAAGCCTTAGAATTTTAGGATGAAGAGTTTTCTCGTAGGAAAGAGTGGCTGTTAGGCTGAGACTAAGAACAAAGAGCATATGTTAAAGCTTTCCATTTCTCTCCAACAGGAAATTTTCATATTTAAGTCACTAAACATTAAGAAAAATTGAAAAACTCGGGAAGACATTTCAAGGACACTTCTACATCCTGAAAAAGTCTTGGAATGTTTTAACACTCCTCTGTCTGGCAGTTAATTATCCATCCTTAATTTTCATCTGAATCACTTCTTCTTTGCTAGTGAATTTTCTTTATCCTCTTGTTCTGGAATGTATAAGTAAGGCAAACAAACATACAAACCGAAAAAGTCACAATACTGGTTAGCATTAAAACATAATGGATACCACAGGACTGGGTGTCAACGCTTGAAGCATTCATTTTCCCTCCATGAACACATTTTCCTCACACCACCACCATTTGAGACTATGCATTGGGATGTGTGTATATTTTGCATGCTAGGAGAACGTATTATGATTGCATTCATTTTAATCTCCCCAGGGTGTCTACGCACTTGGAATATTAGTGACAGAATTATGTTGTTCTTAAGGAATTCCCCATAAAAAGAATTCTACTGTCATCTAAAACCAAATAATTTTTGTCCCTCCATTACGTAAGAAAATAAGGCCTCTGGGCAACAGAAATAGTTTTCCTGACATCTAGACAGTAAAGCATATTTACTACAGAAGGCATTTTTTCTCCAGTTTTCACGAAATTTTAAGAATGTTAGCTATGTACTTCCTAAACCATAGGGGATTAGGAACGGAAAGGGGGAAAGACAGTCTCGAGTAAGAGAACAGGCACTTCAAGCATGACAAGGATTAAAAGCTGACAGAAAACTACTAAGGGCTAACAAATAAAATAGAGTAATTTGAGATAATATGGAGATTTATCAGAAAGGAAAAACTCCAAACTTTTTAATGGGCCACAACACACTGATATTTATATTTATCCTAGCACCTTAGTCATAACAGTAATTATGCTGTTTATTATGCTATTTATTATGTGTAAAGAAGTAGAGGCATATGAACTATAATTACAGATGTTTTCGTTGATGTTTGAAAATATAAAATTTTAGATATTTAAAAAAATTGATTTTTCAGGAGACAGCCCCAGAGGAACTGGTATTCAACACCACTATAATGTTAAAGTTCGAAGGAACATTCCACTGAAATAAAACTTGTCAAGAATGAAAGCCAAAGACTAGCAGAAATTTTATCTAGTAGAAAGGAGTTCACCATTGAGAACATTCACTGAGTAATGTTGGGTTTTGTTAACCTCCTTGTTTTTGCTGTGTGATAACCAATTAGTACTTTTTACAGAGAGAAAACCACAGTTGAACAAATTCCAAAGATAATTCAATCAGAAAACCTTACTGTGTACTAATTCCTCTTTCCCTTTCAGCTAGAGTCTCCACATTTTTGTCCCACAAGATTCTCTATTTTAAAAATTCATTCTATTTAGTCAATTCACCCATGCATGCCTATATGGAAGGAGACCATTTCTTGCCTTTTGGAGGAAGGCTTGGGCAGGATAGTGGTATCTAACTTTAAATATTTCTGGATGCAGGGAAAAAAAGGTTCAATATCCATTCACGAGCATAGTTGGTCAACAATAATTGATTAGCTGATGAACGCAGTCCATAGTAAACAGTTACCAGCCAGCTGTTTGATTTGGCCATTTGTTTTCTTCGATGAGACACCCTGGCTACTGAACACTATTGTACCCGCATTCTCGTCACGGTATGTGTGCCTAATTCTGTCATGCAGGATGCTGGCAAAGTGGTATCCCAGAAAATCAGATAACACTGGACCTAATAATGCTTGCTGTTCAAATGACAGGAATGTTCCATGGAGAGATCCCACTGGCCAAGTGTAAGATTTATATCTGAAACAGATACCTGAAGCCACAGATAGCCAATTCTCTAGTCTTGCTGGTTAGTCCTAACATGGAAGCAATTGACTCACCCGCTGACAGTCTAAATCAGCACATAATTTATGACTCAAACATCTGTGATGACTTTAATAGCCTTTCCATACCTTCCTCTTCTATCTATCATAATAGGAACATTTTAAAGTGAGAACCTTCCACTGGGGAAAAGGGATCTGATGTTCTTTTGCTTATCTTTCTATGCAGTATCAGGAACTGAACCCTGTCCTCACACACGCTGGAGACCTCTAACGTATTCCCAATGGGATAAAAGTTCTTTTAAAAATGTCTTCTTTCAGGAATCGGTGGTCTGTCCTTTTTCAAAGATCCATACTGAAAAATTCCAGTATTTCTCTTTTGGTCTCATCAGTTCGGAAATACATTGAACTCTTTTTCTTGTTCACCATTTAGAATTATCATTATCTCTTAAATTACAACTTGTCAATTGACTGTACTAAAAAGACCTTCAAAGGTCAACACACTCTTCATTATCTTGCTCTTACTAACATTGTAAACTGGAAGCTAAACCATCAATCCGGCAAGTGTGGCTTCCCCTCGATAATCAGGCCAAGGATTCTTGACTTAGGCAGTCTGTAGCTGTGTTTGGAGTCAGCCTGTGATCACCATTCAGCACATATTGCTGTAGGAGTGTGTTTCCAGCATTACTGATAGGGAGGGAGGACAGGCAGATGTCACAACCACACTGCAGTGGACGAAGGAAGAACATAGAAGACGGTGAGTTTCGCAACGGAAAATGAATGCATAGTTTTAGTTCTTCCACCTGAATGAAGACGCTTTCAACTGACTGTAAAACTGCAATGCTTTACGACATACCACAGACACACAGAGAACACTAAGGAAAATACTGCCTGGGGAGATACGTGTTCAAACCTTCCCATCTACAGCCGCTATCAATTCTTCTACCCTAACGTGACAAGAAACCTTAGTTTGCAACAGAGAAATATAAGTCGGGAAGGAATCCTTATTGGCCACCCTTGCGTTTCCCCCCTCCACCCTCACCCACCTCCTGATTTTGTTTTGGTTTTTCCAGCATTTGAATGTCCTCATACTTTGTATCCTGACCCACTAGGAAGTTAAAATAGCAAACTGAACTAGTTTCAGGGCCTGAGAGAGAAAGTCTGGAGCTTTCAGAAAACCTCCAGTTGGTTACAAAAGGTACCTTCCCCACAAATGTTATTTAAAGAGGCCTCCATCACTGTGTGGGATTTACAACCTTATGGAAAATCTTGATTCTTCATTCTCGCCATGCGGGGAGGTAAGTGAAGGACAAAGACATCATTAAAAATGGTCAACCTGATCATTTTCAAAAGGACATGTGCAAAGCATCTAGGCTAGGATCCCTTTGGCGACTAAATTGTCAGGGAATAATTTGTTACTGACAAGAACAGAATGTGCAGCGGAATATCCCAAACAACAGCATGCTCAATGAGCCAGAGGCTTGCTATAAATATCCTCTCCAGAACTGCATTTCCTAGAGTCTAAAATTATTCTAAGAGCGTCATGGTCTGAGGGAGGGGGAAAGGGTTGTACTGGACACTAAGGTACAAGCAGGGACCAAGGTAACAGGATTTTCTCGTGCTAGTCTAGTGATTAACTTTATTAAGGCACATCTCATCTTGACTTCATCAAACAAGTAATGGGAAAACCTCCAAACTCCTTTCGAGATCTGGAACTTTACACTGGCAGCATCAGTTACCTATACATAGAACCCTGGCAACGGATACTATTCAAATCACTCTAGCCCGTTCAAAGGAAAACAAAACGGAATTTGGGGGAGGGGCAGGAGAGATGGCTCTGTGAGTCAAGGATCCTGCTGCCGAGCCTGGTGCCTCCAGTACCCCAGATTCTCCAGGACTCACATGATGAAGGAGACCTGACATCCCCAGGTTGTCCTCTGATCTCCACATCCATGATGTGGCGTGGGCAGGCACGTACACTGAAATTAAATTCTAAAAACTTAATTAAAGGAAACAGAGTCTGGAAAGGGCAAGCTGAGGCTGTTTTCAAATAGCCTTCTGATCTTCATGTGAGCTATACAATCTGAACGCTCTTCCAGCACATCGAGTATGGCAACTAACTAGGACTTGGCTTTTCAAAGCACAAATTCTTAGAATGTTTGTCCTGTTAGTTTATTCACTGTGGTGTGTGTGTGTGTGTGTGTGTGTGTGTGCGCGCGCGTGCACGCGCACATCCAGTGTACCGCAGTGCATCTGTGGAAGTCAGAGGACACTGTCCTAGAACTGGTTGGTGCTCTCCTTCCTTCAGCTGGGTCCCAGAGATAGAACTCAAGTTTTCAGGCTTGGCAGCCAATGCCTTTACCTGCTAGGCTATGAAAATCAAACTCTTCAAAAGATGTAGTAATAACCTAAATTCCTCTCCCCTAGATGTCTCCATGTTTCACGTTCTACCTTCCTTCTTTCAGTCCCTGTGGGTGTGTTGCCTTTTCGACACAGTAAGCATCTATATGGCAGAATCCATATTTTATTAATGTTTTTATTCTTAATGACGCATTAACTATAAGGACATTTGATACATGTTTGTTGAATTAAATCTTGCTTTTAGCGTCTTGGGTGAGTGTGGGACATACTTAGCAGGAATAATCAGTCAAACTAAACTTAGCTTTTTATAAATCTGAATTTTAGAAAAACCTCCAGACTTCTTCATTGTAAGTGACTTAGAAGACAATGGCTTTATGTAGAACTTGCAGAAAAATCTCATAAGACAGACATGGTGTTTTGTTTTATTTTGTACTCTAAAAAGAAAGTAAAATGTCATCATCAGTATATAGTCTTATTTTCCTGTTATTTTTTCTTGTATTTGTTCACCCCTCACACATTTTGTGAGTCAGATGCTCATGTCTGTTTATATACGCCTGTGAGTAAAATATGGTCCCTGCTTTCAACAACAGTGTTTACAGGAGAGAGAGAGAGAGAGAGAGAGAGAGAGAGAGAGAGAGATTCACTGGTAGACAGCAGGTAGTTGTGGTCACATTGATATGCATGCAGACAGTTGCCAGTGTCATCTGAATGAATGCTGAGGACTGGATCTTTGGAAGTCTTCCAGAAGAGGTAATAGCTGAGGTAGCTCTGAGCCTGTCAGAGCACGGGCATTGGAGAACCCTAGTCAAAAGCAGTAGCATTTTTTCTTTATTTAAGAAACTGAACATAGTACTTGTGCCAGATACTCTTTCAAGACAGTGTCTCCTTTACTAAAACAACTTAAGAGGGATCCATTATTGCCCTCGAGTTGCACATCAGGAAAAGAAGGCTTCCTACAATCCATATTCAAGAATCTCAAAAACAAGTGAAAAATCTTGCACTTTTTACTTTTGCAAAAAATGCAGTTTTCTAGAAGGTTTTCAGACAACTGTAGTGTGATCACTAGAATCTATTTTTGTTTAACTTGGTACACACACACACACTATATATATATATGTATGATGGAGTTGTATTAGTATACTTCTGTTTCGTGAGGTTAATGGCAGAGATTCCCTATTTTCTCTCATTTTCCAAATGAGACAAATTGGGCGTCCTGATAGGCAAGAATGTGTCTTAAGAACATTTTTTTCTTAACTTAGATGCTTCATATGAGTTGAAGAACACTCTGGCTATGTCCTTCATGGGTTTGGACTAGCCTGCTGGTGATATCTACTTGCCCCCTCCTAAGCTGAATACTGGATAGAGAAGACGGAGCCACAATTTCCCTGTGGTTGTCTTTCTGTGCTATGTCCAGATCCCCATTCTTCTTTTTCCTTTGAATTTTACATTACAGGACAGTTCTGCCCTCGTTAGTGTTATTCACATTCCCAGGCTACCTTTTTCCGCTATAGGCCTGGTCAGCATTTGGAGCTGCTTCGGTTGATGTTGGTCAGCGACGGTGTCCCTCCTCCCATCTCACTTGCACAGTCTCTTGACCTCTCACCTTAGGGGTGGCTGCAGTCACTCCAGTGAGAATAACTCTGTAAGCTAATATTAATACAATCTTAAAGGCTATGGTCTGATGTGCAGAACTTGGCATTGAACATCTTGCCAAAACATGACACTCGCATTTCCTTCTCTGTTTTCCTCTCTCTTCTTTCTCATCCCTTGTAATTCATGAATGATGACACTGAGAATTAATCTTCTGCATAGAGCCCATCAACACGAACATATCAGCGTGAGAAGAGGGCATCTGTGTTTTCCTAAGCTCGATCCTCTCTCATCAGAGGCATGGAGACAGGGATGCTTTTTAGTCGTCAGATAGAAAGTTGAAATTCTTTTTTCGTGGGTGGACTCATTTGTTTTGGAAATCAGAGTCTGAGGAGTCAGAACTACAGGGCAGAAAGCAGATCATTGGCTGGGCGGGAATAATTATTTGTTCCCATGGGGACACTGTCCTGTGTCTTCTTTCTTCTCCCTGTGTCATCTGGGACATCTGGGACTGTGTGAAGCTCCTCTCTCTTGTACTGGCTGTCCAAATTTTAAGGTGAGAAAAGAAATTAGAAACTCAGTAGATTTGAATATCCACACCCCTCCCCCAAATAAAGCAAAAACACACACTTGCTCAGGCCATTTACTTTGCACAAAGAGGTAAATAATAAAAGTGCTGCAAAAAAGCAAAGATCCAAGACAGGAGTTCTAAAACTCACTAAGAGACACTCTCTTGACTGCACTTTATCCAAGCAGCCACATGTTGATTCCCAGCTGAGATATCATCAGCTCTGCATTGGCTTGTCCTAGAGCCAAGCAAGTATTTGCAAAAGGATTAAGAACATTCAAGAACTTACAGGAAGTGTGGGCAGATCTCTTCACTCCGGCATTGACTTTGTCACCATGTTCCCTGGGTTGGGCAGTAGTAGAGTTCCCTTTTCCATAAAGCCCTCCCCAGACCCAGGCACAAGTGGAGAAGAAAGAGATAACAGCAACAGTTCCATTGTCTCCTTCCTGCAAAGTTGCCCCTAGTCTTCGGTCTCTGAGTTAAAAAGAAGTCTCTCAAGGAGTATAAAGGAAAAGTTCATTGGCAGGGAAAATACATACTTCCAAGACATACTGTGTATTTCCCAAGAGAAGAAATTGACAGTAGTTAATGTCTAATGAAGGAAATTGCTCTTTGCACGGCACTATATCGAGACCACTGTAGAAATGAGTCATAATTGAATTCCTGGTTTTTTATATATGTTTATCGCTCTATAACATGCTGATTTCTCTAAACAAGCAGATTGTTTAACACCAACAATTCAAGCAGGAAGAAAAGGAATCTATACACAAGGAAGTTACTTTCATTCTTGCCCAACAAGGAGCAGAACCCTGATTGGAATATGTTCATAAAAGTGATTCTTTCCTGCATTAGTTTTGTTCTCCACAAACTGGGGCTGGAGGGGAGGGTAGGCTATCAAGGACTTTTTAAATCTAAGGCACAGATGACCTGTCACTGAAATTCAAAAATAATCAAAACAGGTCAAAACAAACAGATTTGAATTTCCCAAAGGCTCATGGCTTTGCAAATTTAGTCCTAGCTCTCTTGCAATTTTTTCTGTAATTTTGAAGTGTGCAAATACATTGCTCACATAATTTGGCTTTCTTTTCCTGGCTATAAAATTAAGAGGTCAATCCAGGGTGTCTCTAAATTGCCTCTTATTTCAAACACAGTCCACGACTTAAGCAACAGGCCAACATCATCCGGTAGTCATTTTTATGAGAGGTCTCTCCCTTTGAAGAGAATAGATGTGGAAAGGTGCTGTACTTTAGAGACTTCCATTTCCTCCATTTCATGACTCTTCTCTTTATATGCTTCCCTCCCTTTCTTAGGATTTGGTTCTTTTAGGGATCTTAAAGAGTTAAAAGCAGTAAAGTGACCTGCCTAAAGTCACACAAAGCACCTTGAGAAGAGGTTGAAATTTTGTATTGCTTTCTTTCTTGGGTTTCTTTGTGTATTCAATGTGGCCTTATTTAATGGTGTCATATTTATCACCATGACAAGATTTTCTGGGCTCCTGCTGGGTACCCAGCAAGTTACCAGGCCCCATGGGAATTTAAGCAGCTCACAAAAGGCATGACTCCCACACATGCGTCTTCAGTCTAAAATGATCCCATCTGTTTGACCTTTCAAGCATAGTACATAAACATCTTTGTCCTTCACTGAGTAAATAATACTACTATAGTTCAACTTAAATGGTGTATACAGATAAAGAGACCGAAATTCAAAAGAAGTTAATGTGTCCAAGACCATATGTCTAAAAATTAGCAGGATTAGAAGTAGAACATGGGGTCTTTTTCTTGTTCAATTTAATTTGATTCAAACCATTTTACTTCTGAGCTGCATAGTACAGAGGGGAAAATACCCTGCATCCTACATAACTCAAAACCCTTTTTCTTCCCATTAAAATGAATTACTCTAGCTTTAAGGACTGCAGAAGGTCCATTTCATATCCAACCAGTGAATTTCACAATCTGTCCTGGGTGAAACTGGATTTCATCCGTCAACCGAGTGTCTGTTACAACTAGAGAAAAGTGAGGAGATCCAGGTCCACAATCCTGGGTGAGTCCACAGCAAACAACTGAGATGCCTCTTTCATATGAGACCTTATCCAGAGGATTCTCATAATCTAAGAAAGACGGACAGCCTCAAGGGCAAGAGACAGCTGCAGATAGAAAATGGTTTAGTAAAGCTACAATGGTCCTCTCCCCATGAATCTGAATGTTAGTAAGGACCATAGACATACATGACTCCTGCAATTACAATATTGAGTGTTCTTCCCCTTAATGGGGCCAAAGTAATTGGCCCTAGATCCCTAGCTTATAAAATGTAAAATACAGGTCTGATTCTTCTTATTACATCAGATCGTCTTTTGGAGGAACATGAATCATCAAAATCTGCCTCCGTAAATTTTCTACCCACTGAGTTGAGTTCTATGTTCTGAAAAACAATTAGCATCTCCATGAGCTTCTCCTTTCGCAAACCAGCTCATGGAAATTGCAAAGTAGCTAGTAAGAGAGGTGCATGCACTCTGCGTGCTGACCATAGGCAGGTCAGTCTCTTCACCCACCTGATCTTTCTCTGTTGCCGTAGGTATTATGTGATTGCTACTGAGTAGGATTCCCACAGAGGCATGACGCTTTCCTGATCTTTTAGATGCTCTAAGTACTTTCAGGGCTCTTCGTTGTATCAAAGTTTGACAAAAAAAAAAAAAAAATCTCAGCTTCACCCTTCAAAGGCTCTGAAGGGGTGGGAAGGTCCCCACTGCCCAACGGGCTATGAGAATGAATTCTTTAGGGCCCGGATCACTGCCATCTTAATGTAAATGTTATGATAAAATATTAAACTGTATGTATAATTGATGCTTCCTTTATAGTAATGCAGGGTCTTGCTTGTTTGAATAAAATTTATTATTTACAGTCCTCTGCTAGCAGTGATTTCCCTCTGTTGGTGTTTTTTTCTAATTGCTTGAACTGCGTGCCACATTTTCCTAGGCAACATTTAAATAATTATTACACTCCTCTTAGTTCAGAGTCAGCATCTAAGACTCAGATAGTATTATAAATACCCTTTTTGCATAATGAAAAATGTCCACATCTAAGTTGCTCAGGGATATTTACAGGAAGATACATTCGGCATGCCATGGTAAAGGAAGCTGGTGGCCGGCTCTGCGTACCTGCCCTCCACTAAAAGACCTGTTCTCTGTTGACACACTGAAGGGTGTGTGTAAGAATAGCATATATTATTTATTCAACTTAAAAGTTTTAATAAAATATAAAACTTTGTCATAATTTACATTGAAAAGCCATATAAATGTTGGGATGTATATTCTTGATACCACTACTTTTGGGGGAAATAGGGGAGTTAGATACACTGACATCATCCACTAGGCCATCGAGTTCAATAAAGAAACACCAGAAGAGGATCCCCACGGTCCCTCCCCATCCGTGAGGCCATGCAGTTCCCGGAGTCAGAAGGAGACCGCTTCTGAACTGAGTCCTTTTCTATCACACAGTAGCCATCTTCTGGGGGTTTTAGTGTGGGTTTTTTTTTATCATGATCTTTAACTCATTTGGTAGATAACTCAGTGATTAATAATGATTAACATGTGGATAATTCTTCCCAAAGAAACACATATTTAGGATAAGATATTTGGTTTTATGACCTTAATGAAACAACTGAAAGATTGATCATTATGGAAAAGTTAAATATTTCTTAATAGTTTCTGAGATTTGGATACCTAGAAGTCATAGTTCTTAAACTGAGTGTTGTTTAGATCATTAAATATTCTAAAATGAAATCAATAATTTAATTAAATGAAGTGTACACAAAAGTCATTTCATATCTCATTTTCTCAACAATTTGGTTCTCTACTGGAAAAAATATTAATCATATGTCACTATTTAACAAGCATATTGAACCATGTGCTGTCTATTGACGACCTTTGTTTTTAAATATTCACTGTTTATTAGGTTTTTTGTATTACAATTATTCGACAGATATTTAAGGGCAAATACCATTTCTTTTCCTATTTTATCTTCCTAGGGTACCGAAATCTTTGCTTTCAACTGTCTTACATTTTGTCAATTTGCCTACATGCTCACTGTAAGCCAGGAATTGAGGCTATAGTCCCTGCCTTTAAAAAGCTCCCATAAATATCTACGAGAGAAAACACCGCTGACCTGGGACAGCAGAGAAGTCAAGGAAGTCTGTGGAGAGGATGTTTGACTCATTCCTGGAAGAACAAATGGGTAGGGGTTATCAATGCAAGGAAGGTAAGAAATGGATGCAACGCAGCTTTAACACACAGTAGGCACTCAGTAAACAACCATCTCTTTATTCGGGAATAAGTGGTATTGACTTGAAATCAGTGACCTTTCAACCAACAAATCTACGGGTCCATGACTTTTTAAGCCATTAGTGGCCTATTTATAAGGTGAATGCCTCAGGCTTTCTCTTCTCTAAAGAGTATTTCTCCTTTCTTAGTAGAACAGAAAACAGGGCTGCTTTTTAAGAAAAGACAAAAAGAAACCCCTCAGGCTTGATGTTCATATGTCTTTTCTAAAAGTAAGAAACACTGATTTGGGTATATTTTTAAATGAATAGACACATCTCACTGCTGATAGCCACCATTGTTACCAAAATAGTATACTTCTTTCCAGTATTTTTTATTGTGGAAAAATATGAGAGTTGTTATTTTTACATAGTTGCAATGGAATTAAGAATGTATAGTAAAAAACAAAACCCACAGTACTAAGTATCAGGATACAGTGTGTAGAATTGTTAACTAACTAGAACCGTGTTGCTAATGTCTTAGGAGTTGTTCCTGTCATCAGTTGTATTGCTCAGGTATCTCAAGAAGACTTCAGGAGATGAACATTGTTTAATCAACTGTTTTATTATTGAAGCTTGAGATTATTTCCAAAATCTCAGTGTGTTCTTAATGTTTCTGCAGTGGGTATGTTCATTAAGATTTCTCCACCCCATGCTTTAGACTCACTGTAGGACCAAGTGTTAGGATTAGAATGAGTGAATCAAGAGATAGGATGCTTTCAAAGTCTAGAATATATAGTGCCAACTAAATTTCCAAAAGAACTAATCAATTTTTACTCTTGGCTACTATGAATGGCTTTTGACGGTTGTCATCACTGACTTTTTTTGCTTAAATTTTTGTTATAATGATCATTTTTTTAAAAAAAAAGAATACTGAAATTTTCATTTACTTGATCATAGTGAAGTTACGTATTTTCTCTTTGCAGCAAGTTTAAAGAATTAAGACCAAATTAACATTGGTTCTAAGTCAATAGCTTAGACTATTTACACAAAACAAAGCTTTGTGGGTCTCCACTAAATGCTACACCATTGCTCTCCCTGCACCGCTCTAAAATGTAAACTGAAAGAATCCCTTTCACGGCAGATATGTGATGGCAATTCTCCTGGGAGCTGTGTCCATGTTTCAGAAGACCTCGGGCCAAGAATCACAGACCCTCTGAGAACCATTTGCAGTAGAGTTTCTCATAGTTTTGATAAACTAAGAGTCATCGTTTTGTGCTTGTTTTTTGGTTTGTTTGTTTGTTTGTTTTGTTTTGTTTTTAAGACTCAAGACTCCGCGAAGGCTAGAGCTTAATCCTGTCACAAGCTGTAGAACCTAGAAGATAGGCCCTCTTTCCTCAACCTGTCACTCGAGACATGACACAGAAGACAGTGGCCATCTGGAACATGACACAGGAGCATCCCTACAGAGCCAGCAGCACTGAACTGCCTCCCCCACAGTCTTGTCATTCAATAGCTCCTATTATGTGTCCTCTACTTGGGGACGCTTTCTTTCTTTCTTTTTTTTCAAAGGTATTTTGGCACACTGAATGCTAGTGTCTATTTGTGAGTAACTTCAATTTGACCCTGCTAATCATCAATACAGAGAAATCATCTCTGCTATTGCTCAAGATGTGAAGTAATCAGCAAGGCGTAATTTCTATGAACAGAAAACTTGCACTTGACTTCTGGGTTTTGTCCAATTATGACACAGTTTGAAGCCAACTTCATGAAAATCTACAGACATCTTTCCAAGCTCAGATTTATATACAATCCACTGCTCTGAGAAAGCACACTGAACATAGTGGTAGAAACTATTTCCAGTGTCAATAAAGCCTGTCCAATCTCTGTTTTCCCAGTGCGCTGATCGTGACAGTGTCCTGGGGAAGAGTTGCTCCAGTGAGCTAGTTGACATGCTAATTGCACTCTGTAGAGCTCCCTGTTGCCTTAATCCATTTTGTGTTGTTAAAAGAGAGTACAGAATGGGTAACCTTTTAAGAAAAATAATTACTTCTTACAATTATAAAGGCTGAGATGTGTGAGGTCAAATGCCCACATTTGGCAAAGTCCTTGAGGCATCACAACATGGAGATGCCACATATGGAGGGGACTGTAACAGCTTAGCTCTCTCTCCCTTTTCTAATAAAGCCACTGACACAACCCTTGTCTTCATAATGCGATCAACCTTAATAGCCTTCCCTAGGTCCCATCTCCAGTGACCATCAACATAGCAACCCGGAGACTAATTTTCAACCCAGAAAGTTTGGGAAACACTTTCAAATCACAGAACCTTAGTTTTAGGGGTTTTTCAAGACAGGGTTTTTCTATGTAATGATCCTGACTGTCCTGGAACTCATTCTGTAGACCAGGCTGGCCTTGAAGTCACTGAGATCTGCCTGCCTCTGCCTCCTGGGTGCTGGGTTTAAAGGTGTGTGCCACCACTGCCTTGTCATGTTCTTTATTTTATATGAACTGTCACCTTTTAAAAAGCCCTAATTTGTCTTTTGATAAAGTCTAAGAAGCAAGATTTCCTCCATCTTTATTTCCCTCCACCTCCACCTAAATCTGAAAAGAACCCAAAGACCTTTCAAATATTCAACTAGTTTTCCCTCATTAGTACCATATTCCAGCAAATGCTTACTACCTACTAAAATGCCTCCAGTGCCAGAGAACTTGCCAGTCCTTGATGGGCTTTGTTTCAAATTTAGTTTTTTTTTTAAATAGAAAGTAGAAGTGAATAGAATGTCTTTATTGATAGGAGTGTGAAATGGTTAAAAAAAGTAATAACACAAACAATTTATTTTGAAAGAACTAATCATTTTAAAAGTTAAACTTTAAAAACTGTCTTAAAATTACTAGAAATATGTGATATGTTTTCAAGGATGTTCTTTGCAATGTCATTTATAATAATGATTTATGGAAAAGAAAACTGCAAGCCGTGTGAATTCCCAACTGTGCAGAATGATTTAATTGACTGGTGGTTCACATGCATAATAGTTAAACCATTAAAATATTGCTCCATCTACTCATTCATGAAATGAGTAAATATTCATAGAATATGAGTGCGGTAGTTGGTATTGATTGTCAACTTAATAGGATCTAGAATCACAAAGAATATGATATTTTGGGCATAACTATGAGGGATTGTCTAGATTAAGTTAACCTCTGGGCGTGCCTAAGAAGGATTACCTAGATCAGCTTAATTGAAATGTGAAGACCCAGCTGAGTTAAGGGCAGCCCCAAACTATAGCCTAAAGTCTCAGACTGGACAGAAAGGAGAAAGAACTGAATGCTAACATTCATTATTCTCTGCTTCCTGATTGTTGATCCAACATGACCATCTGCCTCAAGTTCCTGTTGTTATAGCTGCCCTGCCAAGCAGGTCTCTGTATCAAAATAAATCCCTTCCTTCCTTAAATGGCTTTTGTCAGATATATTTTTACATCAGCAGCAGAAGTAACTAATATGATTGGCAAGTAAAAAATTCAAGTTTCAGAACAGCATGGCGGTCTCTGCCTTACAGTAAACAGTCTCTATTCAAATACATATTTGCATACAGAGAAGAAGACATGGAAGATAAAGGAAAATGTGGATAGTCATTCCTCAGCAGTGAAACTAATATCAATGTATTTTCATCTTCATTTCTTAGTATCTTTCTATAGAAACATCTGCTTCTACATATGTCGTCAAAGGAAGTGTAACTTTAGTGTAGTCTTGTCTGGAACTGAAACTGCTCCCATTTTCGGTAATGGGCTAATGTGGACAGGAAGAAAATCCTTCCTGCTCAGAGTCTTAGCAGCAACTACAAAGTATCCTCTGCCTACGCAATGCCTTCTCCCAGGAACTGAGGATCTCCAGCCTCCAAAATCCTCGCCTCCACTAACACACTTTCTGCATGCTAGCAAGATTGACTCTAGTGACAGCTACACCCTTTCTCTGCCCCAAACCTTCCTGTGGCTCCCTGTCACACTTGACCAAAACGGAGCCCTTGCCAGGGCCCACATGACTCTCTCTGACTCCGTCTCCTACCACTGTTCATGTTTCATTCCACTTCGGTCTCCTGCTTCCACGTCTCGGGACCTTCGACTTCTGTCCTTCTGCTGGAACAATACCCCAGCATTCCCTCATTTGTCCCCTTCTCCATTTAGGTCTGCACTAAAATTCATCTTATTTTTAGAAGGATATTCTGTAAACATTCTTTCAAAAAGAGCTCCACAGGCTTCAGTCTCCTCAGCCGTCCTTGTGTCCCTCCCTAACCCTTACTCACTCACTACTAAACAACCTATTTGTCTTTTCTCTTTTGTTTCATTTTGTGTATTTTTGTTTGTGTACCTATTTGGTTTTGAGGAATCTTTTCCCTAGAACTGCCGGCCTGGTACTTTCCATGTCTTCTAGACAGGCTTGGAACTCATGGACACCCTCCTGATTTTATCTCCTCGGTACTGGCGACACAGCACCGTGACACTTGACTACACATTCTTTTCTTATCTAATTGTCTATAGTAAATCGACTTTGACCAGAGTGTAAGTTCTACAAAGGCCAGAGTTTTGCTGGTTTGTTTGCTTTTGTTGCTGTAATAGCCGTTGCCAGAGAAGGAAAGGAATAAGGATTCCACACATAAGTTTAACTTAATGAAGGAAGTTTTCAAGAATTGTTTCAAGTTTTTCTCACTGGCTACTGGAAGCCCAAGCTTCCAATTCCAAAGTCAACAACTGAGCCAGGAGGTGGGGGAGAAACTGCGTCTCAGATATGGTCTAGACATGAGGGTAGAATGCAGAATATTCTTCCTCTTCACTTTTCCCTCCACACTGCTGTGAAGCAGGTATGCATATTCATTTATGCCAGCAAAAAGTGAAGAGACCTGAATATACATAGGTTATTTTAAGGAAAAAATGCACTCAGAGAGATTCCTCTTCTGAAAACTATGTG